TGTTTAGTCTATAAACCGTATATTAACTGAATAATACACCTTATAGAAGATGCGAGAAACGAGACTTAGATGATTTGAACATGTGAGGAGGAGGAATGCAGACACTCCGGTCAGAAGGGGTGAGAGGTTGATATTGGAGGGTCTAACGAAAGGTAGAGTAGGCCGAAAAAGGAATTGGAGAGAAGTGAATAGGTAAGACATGACGCAACTTCAGCTGACCGAGGACATTACCCTTGATAGTAAGGTTTGAAGATCGAGGATTATGGTACTAGGTTAGTTAGTTTAGTGCTCTCCTTATTTCGTATTTTGTTGGTATTAGATATCGTTTCTTTCATTTCGATCATCTTACTATCTGATTGTTATTTATGCTGCTTTCACATGGTTTCTCGTTGTTACGCTTCTTATTTTTCTCTTTATTAATGTGATGCTTATACTTTTCTGAGCCGAGAGTATATTGAAAATAACTCCTCTATCTGCACAAGGTAAGGGTAAGACTGCATATATACTATTCTTCCAAGATCTCACTACGTTGGATTATAATGGATTTTTTGTTGTTGGAGAATGGTGTCTTCTCGCTGATATATAGTAATATTTTTTAAAGTTAGGAATGACTGGTTTGCAATGCTCGCAAAGGTAGAGTTTCTTTCTTCACTTGTTCTTTCTTTACTTTTTCCATTTTAAATCTCGTTCCAAGTGTCAAGTAGCTTCCAAATGGTAGTTAAATTAAATTATGGGTTTGTTTATTTGTGCCTACCTCCACTGCCATTAGGATCAAAATCACCTTGGAACAAACAAGAATAAATAATTGAAATTTCAGAAAGATGGTACACAAACCAAGTGAAATGCAGTTAAGATTGTACTTCGAGTCAATGGTTGCTGAAGTTATGGGCATGGACATGGCGCCGTATGAGCAGCGTAGAAATATCATACCCTAAACAGTCTAACGTTACATCGCTTCGTGAAGATTTTTTACTAAATATATATATATAAATAATATGAATATAAATATAAAAAATAACTGTGCTTGTATTATAATGATTTATTCATTATAAAAAATAACGGTGCTTGTCACTATGAAAAATCGTGCTGCATTGTATATGAGCAAATGTCATATGGATAATCAAGAAAACAATGTGGAACCCCACATGAAAGTTCAATAATGGATATGAACTGCTGAACATGCCTAGGAAACTCCTAGAATTTCATATATTGATGGTTCTGCTTTGCATGCTATCCGCATAAGCGGAATGAATAAGATTTAGGGTTAACAAACTTCGAATTAGCACAAAGCGCAGGACTTGGAGTCAAGCTGCTGACTATGGGGAGTTGGAGGAGTAGTGGGGACGCAAGCACTATGTGAACCATGACTTACGCAATGCATTAGGGAAGCCGCGAGAGAGGTATTAGGGGTCTCAAAGGATTACTCTGATGGTCACAAGGGAGACTGGTGGTGAAATAGATAGGTGCAAGGAAAAGTGAAAACCAAGAAAGCGGCGTATCTGAAGCTTGTGGAAAGTATAGACAAGGAGGAGAAGAGGGCAAATAGGGAGCAATATAAGTTGGCTAAGAAAGAGGCAAAGCTAGCAGTCACGGCGGCTAAGACTACATCTTTTAGTCGTTTGTATGAGGAACTCTGTCACGACCCAAAATCCAACTAGTCGTGATGGCACCTAACCCAACCCGCTAGGTAAGCCAATTAGCAACAATAATCCAATTCATTAAGATCTACTAAGAAATGAAATGATAATATAACTGAACTTCTATACAAAGAATTCCCAAGGACTGGTAGTACAAATCATGAGCTTCTAAAATTTAGAGTTTGCAAAGCTGGAATGAAATAAATACATTATCTGTTTGAAATATACATGAACACTTTAATAATTCTAAAGCTACCAAGAACAAGAGGCAGCTATGACCAGAACGCAGGTACGTCTGCTTTTATATGGCTTTTCGGTGCTGTCCTTTCTTGTCTATATTTTCATTAATATGTTGTTTATGCTTTCCTGAGTCGTGAGTCTATTAGAAACAACCTTTCTATCCTCAAAAGGTAGGGGTAAGGTCTACGTGCATACTACCCTTCTCAGACCCCAAGGTGTGAGATATTACTGGGTATGTTGTTGTAGTTGTAAACTTAGAATTAGTATTGTTTATTAAACATATATAAAAGGGCAGCCCGATGCACTAAGTTCCCACTATGCGCGGGATCCGGGGAAAGGTCGGACCACAAGGGTCTATTGTACGCAGTCTTACCCTGCATTTCTGCAAAAGATTATTTTCACGGCTCGAACGCGTGACTTCCTGATCGCATGACAACAACTTTACCAGTTACACCAAGACTCTCCTTCAACACATATATGAGTATCAAATAAACATATAGTATTCGATCTAACTGTGTCAATTTGTTAAATGAGAGAAAATTAATTGAACACATCCTTATTGCGTATAGAGGTTGAGCACAAAGTTATTCTCATAATTTCTACAATGACTTGTATGGTTAAAAGGAAAAAATATATATAGAAGAATATATAAAGGTGGAAAATAAAGAAGGAACGAAAATAAAAGATATTTATTTGGGTTTTGAACTTGCATCAGTGTCATCAATGTCTACCTTAGAAATCGAATAGAAACAAAAAAACGAATATGATATATAGTTGATTGATTGGTAAGAGATGCAAACATAGCCACTTGATGGATGCTTCCAAATCTGATAGGGACAATGTTGCTCTTTTAAGTCGATGGTTTATATCAATTTGCAAATATAGATAACATTTTCCCCCAAACAGTTCTTCACCATCGTTTACCTCCCATCATATTTCCTATATTATTTTTCTTTTTCTTTGTTTCCTTCGTTTGAGTAGGTGAAGACACTGATCAAAATATTCTTCGTTCCAATTTATACGACAATTTTTCGTTTCGTGGCGTTTCAAAATAATTGATATTATTCTTATAATGATATTACTCCTATTACAACTTTCACAATTCTATTAGATTTAGAGACTAAAATTTCCAGAAAACTTTCCTCTTCTCTGTATTGATAACGCACTGTACATCCTCTTTATACAAGTTTGTAATGTAAATTCAATAAATGAAAAAGAAAATTATATTTATACTTGTCATATTCTTATTCAATAAAATCTAACTATACTAACAAACTGTATTCTCTCCTACATGCCAAAGAATTGATCACGCGTAGGCATCTTCTAGAATTATTCTTTTCTGATTGCTGGCCAAGGAAGTATTTGGAGTGTCATGATTTAATCCATCAATGTTGTGTTTGAAGGCCACGATCTGTCAACGTGTTCCTTTGTTTGTCTAAGAAGATCAAGTTTGACCAAACCATATTTTAGAGTTAGGCTTCACTTTACTCTTTGTATTCGATATACATGAAGCCTCACATGACCCCTCTTTCTTCTTCATCTTTAATCCTCTGTTATGTGACTCCATAGCTTGATTGCTTTTATGTAATCCATTCTGAGAATCAATATCATCATGATTCTCAACACCCCCCTCAAGTTGGAGGGGAAGGAACTGATACCCAACTTGCAAAGAATAGATCTGTGGGAAGGTCCAGCTAGAGATTTGGTAAAGAGATCTGCCAGTTGCAAGGTCGATGGAACATAGGAAAGAGAAATCAGCCCTGAGAGAAACTGTTGGCGCACAAAATGGCAGTCCAACTCGACATACTTTGTGCGTTCGTGAAAAACGAGATTTCGAGCTATGTGAATGGCTGCTTGACTGTCGGAGTGCAAAGGAATCGGTAAACATGGAGAAAGAGATAGATCCTCAAGCAAGCAAGTCAACCAAGTCAACTCAGCAGTGACTTTCCTCATCAATCTATATTCATCCTCGGCGGAGGAAAGTGAGATGGATGGTTGTTTCTTTGACTTCCACGAGATAGGAGAGCCGCCTAAACTGATGTAGAAACCACTGATGGATTGTCTAGAATCTGGGCATGAGGCCCAATCCGCATCACAGTAAGCAATTAAGGAGAAATATTGTGAGCCATTCAAAAACAAACCTTGTCTCGGATCAAGGCGTAGATAGCTCAAAACTCGAAGAGCAGCAGAGAAATGTCCCACACAAGGTCTTTGCATGAACTGACTTAAAATCAGAACAACAAAAGAAAGATCAGGCCTTGTGTGGGTAAGATAGTTTAATTTTCCAACGAACCTTCGATAGATGATGGGATCAGTTAGTGGAGGACCTGAATCAGCAGATAACTTGGAATAAGGATCAAGAGGGGAGTAAGCTGAAGGCAGTTTATTGCAATCAAATTCTGCCAGCAAGTCTAAGGTAAATTTCCTTTGACTTACTATAATGCTATTGATTTCGCGCAAAATCTCCATCCCCAGAAAGTAATGTAATTCCCCTAGGTCCTTGATTCGAAATTCAGCATGTAAGAAAGCTTTTTAATTCTGATAGTTCTGTAGGATTGTTACCTGTGAGTAGGATGTCGTCCATATATACTACCACAATAGAAATAAGATCACATATCTTCTTAAAAAATAATGAGTAATCATTGAGTGAAGAAGAATAACCTTTAAAACTCAAGGCTCCAGCAAGTCCGGCATACCACTGCCTAGATGCCTTCTTTAAGCCGTATAGAGATTTTCTTAATTTGCACACAAGATTGGGACTAGAAGGTATGAGACCTGCAGGGAACTTCATATAAACTTCTTCCTGTAGATCACCATGTAGAAAGGCATTGCTAATATCTAACTGTGTAATGCTCCAGTCTCTTTTGACTGCAATAGCCAACAAACACCGGATTGTGGTCATTTTGACCACTGGTGAGAAGGTCTCATTGTAATTAATTCCTTCTCTCTGAATATCCCCTCTAATCACCAACTGGCCTTCAATCTCTCAATTGTCCCATCTGCATTATGCTTTACCTTGTATACCCATTTACAAGGCAAAGCCTTCCTCCCCTTTGGTAAAGGCACTACTTCCCATGTTTGATTTGTTTGTAAAGCCTCAATTTCTGAATCCATTGCTTTCTTTCATCCTGGATGAAGTGATGCTTGAGTAAACCTAGTGGGCTCAGTCACAATAGCAATAGACTTCAGCAATTGTTGATTCTGAAATGATAAGGCAGTAAAGGAAAAACTGGAAGGTTGTGAGAGTTGTGTGAAACAGGCAGAGGATACATCTGTGAGGTAAATATTGTTGCAAACATAGTCTTTTAGATGTTCAGGGAATTTAGTCACTCTTTCTGATTTTCTAATTGGTAAAAGAGAATTAGGAACTGGACTACTAAAAGGATGGTGAGAAGTTGAGCTAGGACTATGAGAAGGTGAGCTATGTTGAGAAAGTGGGCTGAGTTGAGCAGGGGAAGAGGTAAGCAGTGAACTAGGAGAAGATTGGTTAATGTCTTGTGGCTCATTAACAAGTGATGTTGGTAAGTGAAGAGTCTTGTCATTGGGAATAATTGTGTCAGGTAGAGTAGGAAAGATAGGCTGAGGTGTTGGTGCTTAATTGTGAAAAGGGAAATTAGTTTCATGGAACTGTACATCTCTAGACACCACAATCTTTCTGTTGTCTAGTTCCAAAAGCTTGTACCCTTTCTATCTGGGAGGGTACCCTAAAAACACACATGCCTTAGCTCTTGGTTCAAACTTGCCCCTGCTTTGTGTTAAAGTAGATACATAACATAGGCATCCAAAAGTCCTCAAATCTGTATAATCATGGAGTTCTCCAAAAATCACCTCATATGGTGTCTTTCCTTTAAGTACTCTAGAAGGAATCCTATTAATCAGATGTGTTGCTGTTAGCACACATTCTCCCCAGTAGGATGTAGGTAGCTTTGACTGAAATATTAAGGCCCTTGCTATTTCTAGCAAATGCCTGTGTTTTCTTTCAACCACCCCATTTTGTTGAAGGGTGGCAACACAGGATATTTGGTGCAGTATGCCTTGAGAGGTCAAGTATTCAGAATGTACATAATCTTTCCCTAATTCCATTGCATTATCTGACCTGATTACCTTTACCTTTACATCAAACTGTCTTTCAACCATCTTCAAAAAAATGTTGTAAGACATTGAATGCATTACTTTTTGCAGTCAACAAGTATGTCCATGTTGCCCCACTGAAGTCATCAAATATAGTCAAAAAGTATTTGTATTCATTATAAGTAGAAACTTTGTAACGTCCCCAAGTATCTATGTGGATTAGTTCAAATATTCGTTTTGTTGAAGTATGACTTATTGGAAAAGGTTTTCGAGTTTGCCTTGCCCAAGGACATACATCACAGGAATAGTTTGAATTAGGAAGAAAAGAAATAGTACTGATATTTTTTATTGCATGAAAAGGCAAATGTCCCAACTTATTGTGCCATAACATTACATCGGATACTAATTTAGCAGAAGAAACTGAAACTGAATTATGCTCTTTTGACAATAGAGAAACATTTGATTGAAAGAAATTCCTAGACTGGGTACTACATGGCCTAAGCAAATATAGTCCTTCTTTGACTTCACCAAAAGCTTAAGGTCTCTTCATTAAAGAGCCCTACAAGAGACATTCAGTATGAGTAAGAAGTACTGAACGTTTAAACTGGTATGTGAGTTTGTGAACAGATAATAGGTTGAACTTGAAACAAGGAACATGTAGCATATTTTCTAGGACAAGATCTGAAAAAATAGGTACACTACCTGAATGAGTAACTTTGACCTGATATGAATTAGGAAGATTAACAATAAGAGGCATAGGGAGTGGAGTTAAAGACTTAAAATTTTTAGGATCATAACACATATGTTCTGAAGCACCTGAATCTATGATCCAGATATTAGTATTATAAAAGGGAAAATTAGAAACTAAGTTATTGAAAGCAATACCAAATTGCAGCATTTGCACTGATATCTACTCCAATTCCTGTTGAGGTGTCCTGATGAACCTTGACCTGCTTGAGCAAATTTATAAGCTGAGAAAACTGATCCTTGGACAGGTTCTGTGTTAAATTAACTTCATCAATCTCCATTGGTTGTGGCTCCTCATCTAATGTTGTTGCATTTCCCCTTATTGGTCCCTGAAATTTCTTGTTCTTGTTGAACTTGTAATCAGAAGGATATCCCACAAGTTTGTAGTAATCTCCTATCACATGGTTTGTCATTTTGCAATAAGTGCAAAATTGCTTTGGTTTCTTTCCTTTGTAGTTAGGGTTCTCTACACTCTGTGTGTAGTTCCCTGAATTTCCTGTAAACTTCTGTGCTGATTGCACTTGGCTTCCATTTGTTATAGAGTATCCTTGGATTTCTATCATAAAAGATGAACCCCCTGAGGAAAGTTGATTGTAAACAGGGGTTTCCCTCTGATTCTCATCCTACAATAATAGTGAGTAAGCATGGTTAACAGTAGGAAGTGGCTTAATCATCAAGATGTTACTCCTAGCCTGAGCATAGGTCTCATTCAACCCCATAAGAAATTGAATGAACCTCTCGTCCTCCAAAGATTTGGCTAACTTCTTCTTTCCTCCACACACACATGCACAACTACAGTTTGTATGAGTATTAAGAGAATCAAGTTCATCCCATAACTTCTTAATTTTTGTGTAATAGCATGCAATATTATTAGTTCCCTGCACTAAATCATTTAATTCCTTTTGCAGATGGAATAACTTAGTACCATTTGACTGTCCAAATCTCTCTTTAAGATCAGTCCATAGATCTAAGGCTGTTTTGGAATAAATAACATATTCAGCTATCTCTTTTCCCAGAGAGTTCAACCATCAAGATGTCACTATGTCATTGCATCGATTCCACTGTTGGAAATCCTTAGAGGTGACTGCTGGTGCTAAGCAAGTCCCATTGATAAAACCCAATTTGTTTTTGGCTGACAAGGCTATGAGGACAGATCTACGTCAAGCCTGATATCCTTTGCCATCAAAATGGAAATTCACCAGGTTCATATCTGGTGCATCAGATGAATGCAGAAAATAAGCATGGTTGGAGTCATACTGAGCTCCAATTCCAGCTGTTGTTGCTGCAACTTCAGTGTTATCCGGCATGGTTTTGTTATAAGTATCGAAGGAAGGAAGAAGGAAGAACAAAGGAGATTCAAATTTGAAGATGAACGAGAAGCTTTCAAGGCTCTGATACCATATTAGATTTAGAGACTAAAATTTCCGAAAACTTTCTTCTTCTCTGTATTGATAACGCACTGTACATCCTCTTTATACAAGTTTGTAATGTAAATTCAATAAATAAAAAAAGAAAATTATATTTACACTTGTCTTATTCTTATTCAATAAAATCTAACTATACTAACAAACTATATTCTCTCCCACATTCCAAAGAATTGATCACGTGTAGGCATCTTCTAGAATTATTCTTTTCTGATTGCTGGCCAAGAAAGTATTTGGAGGGTCGTGATTTAATCCATCAATGTTGTGTTTGAAGGCCACGATCTGTCCACGTGTTCCTTTGTTTGTCTGAGAAGACCAAGTTTGACCAAACCATATTTTAGAGTTAGGCTTCACTTTACTCTTTGTATTCGATATACACGAAGCCTCACACGACCCCTATTTCTTCTTCATCTTCAATCCTCTGCTATGTGACTCCATAGCTTGATTGCTTTTATGTAATCCATTCTGAGAATCAATATCATCATGATTCTCAACAAATTCTTACTTAAATTTATTTAATTATTTAAAATGTAATGTATATGAGATGGGTCTCATGTTCTCGTGAGAATATAGAAATTCCTAGTAGAAAGCACTTTAGCTTTTAATGAAAGAAAACAACTAATTAGTGAGATGTCACCACCAAGGTTTATCTTGAAATGGATAGGATCCCTCCTGTTAACCAAAGATCTTTGTCTTAACTTTAGGTATAGAAAAAATTCTAGTAGGGAACGTCTTGCTTTAATGGGCCTTACCTAGCGAACATCCGAATTAATCGGGGCTCCAATGTAGGTACCAAATACTAGGTGGGAATCGTACGTAAAAAAAAATGCTAGTTTAGTGTTTTGTGGGAAACCCCAAAAACAAAAATCAGAGGTGTTAGGTTTCCTTGAGAATAGAAAAATTTCTTGTGTAACACTAGACGAATTTGAATTAATCGGACTAGTAGATTCTAAATACCACATTAACAATATGATCTACTAAACATGCACACTTAAGCATACTAGATCAGTATATACTTCGATAAATCTGTATCATGGCTTTCTTTTTTCCTATCCACTGTTAATTACTGTACAAACGCTGTATAATTTTGTCCCTAAAGAAAGATCAAACTATAATTCTAGACCTTAGAAAAGATTAATGAAAATTGATAAAAAGAATATATTAAAGAGGAAAGCAAGTAGGACTTTCGTATATCCCCTGATGATATTGTCCTAGCTAGTCATGTGACAAGTATATCTAATTAACAATTTGGTTGTGATTCCGTTTATTCCAAGTATTGGTAATTAATGTCTTTGTAACGAATAATTATCTTATCTCACACATATTCGATAGCCTAAATTGACTAAAGTAAGAATCATAGCTAGGCTTGTTTTTCTTGCCATTTAGTGACATTGCTTTTATATTTCAATCTATACCCCAAAAAATATAATTGTATTATAACATAATAGTAGGCTAGTAGCATCGAAGATATTTAAATTTCAGGAGAAATTTTCGTCATCCGAATCTTGATAAAAATATTAGAATTAATCAGCTCATCCTCGCGCGGATCAATAGAAAATCATAAATTAACATTGTGAAAATACTTTATTTTAACGTACGTCTTATCAAAATGGACATATTTAAAATTTTAAAGAGATGTCAGCCCCAATCCATCCCTCGTGAACTTTTAGGTGGAAAGCAAGTAATAGCCTAATTAAAGATACTGCAAAGCCACTGCAATCTCAAAGCGAAAAGGTAAAAAGATAATTAGAGGTGTAAGTTAGTTAACATAGGAACCTTGAACCGATGGATAATCCAGTTAAGTATTAATTAATACTCCTTCCGTTCACTTTTACTTGACACATTTTGACTTTTCACGCCTCTTAACAAATAATAAATGAAGTGCATAATTTACCATGATACCCGTATTAATTAATGCATATTTTATTGGATTTGAGAAAATGATTTGAAATGAGTGATAAATATTGTGGGTATAACAAGAAAAAAAAATTATCTTCTCTTGATATACGTAAAGTGACAAGTAAAAATAAAAAATTATTTTTAATATACCTGTCAAGTAAAAGTGAACGGAGGGAGTGCATGATAATTTCTTAATGATCCCAATAAAAGAATAACCGGAGATATTAATTAGAGCTTAATGAGTATTTTGTAGGTAGAATAAAGTTTGGTATTCTTTTGATATTCAATAGGGATGATATTAACATTTAACGGCAATATATAGAAGTCAACTTTACAGATGCCATATTGGTATTGGGAGACAAAATCCCCCCACCCCTCCAATACATCCATAAAAAGTGGCATCCCAACTTCATTTTTATATGTCCAATTTCTCGCATATAGCCAAAAGAAAATTGTAACTAAAACTTAATTTTAAAAAGTCAACAAAAATCTTACAAATCGTACCTGTAATTCATTAACAAAAATTAATTCAACTTGCATCTTGAGTCCTGGAAATCAATTATATGCACTACGAACTAAATATTTTGCAAGTTACTTCAACCACTAGCGACTCTTACTTAGGAATTCAATTTTTGGTTTAATTTTATAAGGAAACAAGAGATAAACCTTATTAGATAATTGTCAACAACACGATTGTATAATATTTTAAGATTATTTGCAAAAGAAAATTCTTTTCATTTCCTTCACATACAAGGGTAGTTCTGTGCAACAAATGAAATGTTAAGCAATATACCTCCTTGATATTTCATGTAAGCAATATCATTTTATTATCCTCTGGTCGTTCTTATATATATATGTAATAATTTAATACCGTCAGTCCACCGGTACAACAACAATAACAATAACAATAACAATATATGCATTTGTGATCCTACAAGTAGAATTTAGGAAGGATGTGGTGTACGCAGATCTTACTCCTACCTTGTGAGAGGTAAA